CTTCCGTTTCCCCCTCAGGACTTTGTGGTACCTGTATGCCCCGGCAAGACGGGACGAGTCTGAATAAGCTGAAACAGATGGCCTGTGCGGCCGACATAGGTGGGCTTATAAGTCTTCACTTCTCTCGCGTTGTGTGTTTCTTACATACACTTACTAATTCTGTAGTTCTGTTTTCTCTTCAGTTGTTTCTAGCACACTTACTTGTTCTGTTTTCTCTTAAGATGTTGTCTGTTTCTAGCATACACTTACTAGTTCTGTTTTTTCTTAAGATGTTGTCTGTTTCTAGCACACTACTATTTTAGCATAATTACTAAATTGTAGTTAGCAAGATATTGTCTGTTTCTAGCGAGCATATTACTTCCTTGTACTTCTGCTTTCTCTTCAAATGGTGTCTGTTTCTAGCATACGTACAAGTTCTGTTTTCTCTTCTGATGTTGTCTGTTTCTAGCATACGTACAAGTTCTGTTTTCTCTTCTGATGGTGTCTGTTTCTAGCATACTTAATACATGCAGTTCTGTTCTCCTCTGACGTCTGTTCCTGACAAACATGTAGATTCTACATGTACGTACAAGTTTTTTTGTTGTTTTTTTTAGAGCAAGTTATTTGTTTTTGTTATATTAGATATATTCTATATATAATAGCGAATTGTTTTCTCTATTGTTTTCTTTTATTTCTAACATACACGCAAGCTCTCTTTTCTCTTATGTTGTGTGCTCCTAAGATAGAAAAACAATACAAGCATTAAAAAAATATATATTGCCACACCCCTGATTTAAGGGTAGGTAATATCAAACACTCTGTCAAGGGTGAAAAATCTATGAGGTCCTGTATGCAAACTATGCACGTTAAAGATCCCTTGGTGGTCCTAAAATCGATAAGAGCAGGCTTCGACCACCATCTGTGAAAAATCAAACATAATACCTACTAAAACTCTGGTCAGCGTTTATAAAATAAATATAAAGTACAGTCAAATATTGTTGTACCGTACTCTGTTGTACCACCAGCCCCGCTTTCCTCCAGGTTTGCCTATGTGCGAAAATTGTCCCAAGGAAACGGAGTCTATGGTGTAGAGGTTAGGTGCTTCGCCATCATACACTGATGGCTAGGGTCCAATTCCTGTGTCGGGAAAACTTTAATAAATTAGACCAGGTCTTTATGCTCCGGCCATGTATCTCTCTCAGTCCAGGTTGAACCTTACAGACAGGATCGAAGCCGCCCTCCTAAATGATCCAGAGTTTTTAGTTTTTGTAAGAGTTTTACTGCGCTCGCAACTGCATAAGGTCATATGAGCGCCAGGATCCAAAGTTTGTCGATAAGGGCCAAAAAACACTTACATTTAAAATGTAGGCCTATGTACAAGTGGTTTTTCTGTTCGTTCTGAAGTACATAAATTATTGTTTCCTCTTGTCGTCTTCTCATAGCTATTACAGGCGATACTGCTGTCGTATTTTCCAATTATTTGTGTGATGTCGTTAATGGTTTTGTCGTTGTTAGTTTAGTGATATTCTGTTGTTACTGTTGTTGTTACTGTTGTTGTGTTGTTGTTGTTGTTGTTGTTACTGCTGTTGTTGTTGTTGTTGTGTTGTTGTTGTTGTTGTTGTTGTTGTTGCTGTTGCTGCTGTTGTTGTTACTGTTGTTGTTGTTA